CAGCAACTTCTTCCTAGAAACATCACCAAAGGCACAGGAAGCCAGGGCAAAAATGAACTATTGGGATTTCATCAAGATAAAAAGCTTTTGCACAGCAAAAGAAACAGTCCACAAAACCAAAAGACAACCGACAGAATGGGAGAAAATATTTGCAAATGACATATCAGATAAAGGGCTAGTACCCAAAATCTATAAAGAACTTATCAAACTCAACACCCAAAGAACAAATAATCCAATCAAGAAATGGGGAGAAGACATGAACAGACATTTTTCCAAAGAAGACATCCAAATGGCCAACAGGCACATGAAAAAGTGCTCAACATCGCTCGGCATCAGGGAAATCCAAATCAAAACCTCAATGAGATACCACCTCACACCCGTCAGAATGGCTAAAATTAACAAGTCAGGGAACGACAGATGTTGGCGGGGATGTGGAGAAAGGGGAACCCTCCTACACTGTTGGTGGGAATGCAAGCTGGTGCAACCACTCTGGAAAACAGTATGGAGGTTCCTCAAACAGTTGAAAATAGAGCTACCCTACGACCCAGCAATTGCACTACTGGGTATTTACCCCAAAGATACAAATGTAGGGACCCGAAGGGGTACGTGCACCCCAATGTTTATAGCAGCAATGTCCACAATAGCCAAACGGTGGAAAGAGCCAAGATGTCCATCGACAGATGAATGGATAAAGAAGAAGTGGTATATATACACCATGGAATATTATGCAGCCATCAAAAGGAATGAGATCTTGCCATTTGCAACGACGTGGATGGAACTGGAGGGTGTTATGCTGAGTGAAATAAGTCAATCAGAGAAAGACATGTATCATATGACCTCACTGATATGAGGAATTCTTAATCTCAGGAACAAACTGAGGGTTGCTGGAGTGGTCGGGGGTGGGAGGGATGGGGTGGCTGGGTGATGGACATTGGGGAAGATATGTGCTACGGTGAGCGCTGTGAATTGTGTAAGACTGTTGAATCACAGATCTGTACTTCTGAAACAATAACGCAACATATTTTAAGAAAAAACAAAAGGAAGAAGATAGCAGGAGAGGAAGAATGAAGGGGAGTAAGTCAGAGGGGGAGACGAACCAGGAGAGATGATGGACTCTGAAAAACAAACTGAGGTTTCTGGAGGGGAGGAGGTGGGGGGATGGGTTAGCCTGGTGATGGGTATTGAGGAGGGCACAATTTGCATGGAGCACTGGGTGTTATGAGCAAACAGTGAATCATGGAACACTACACCAAAACAAATTATGTAATATATGGTGATTAACATAACAATAAAAAAAGTAAAAAAAAAAAGATGGAATCACATACATGAAAGTGCTTTGAAAACCATAAAGTGCTTTACAAATGCTGAGTTAGGCAGAATAAAGCATTCTAAAACAACCACTCTAATGCAAATAACATTTTATTTCATTTGAAATACCTAATAAACTCAAAACAGAATATTTTTGCCTGAATACTCAGATTAGTGCCTTAATTCTGCATCTCACTTAAAGTGCAGGGACCACAATTTCACATACAATTCTGTTTGTTTAGGCTGATAATTTTAGGATTCCTTAAACATCAGTTGATCCTTTTAAAAACAAAAGCTTATGGGCAAATAAACTTGTTATCCCAATAAGCTTTTAATGACAGACTAGATTTTGGATTGTTCTTTTTTCTCAGCCAGGAATTTAAGTTGGCTTAGGTAACTGGACAAAGACTTACTCTGCTTTTTGTTTTTGGTTTTTAGACTGCTGGAGAATCTTGATGCCCGTCTTGAACAGCTGGTCTCCTTCATCTGTGAAATTTTTCTTTGCTTGCTTTCTTACTACATATGGACAAACAAGGAAAAATAACATGATTTTTATGTTTTATATTTTTAAAATAATGTGCTGCCTTATTAGTTTGGGTTTTGCTCATGAAGGGGTTCAGATGAGCCTCCCCAAAATGTGCCACTTTGGCATGTGGATTATTTTGAGCTGAAGCTAATCAAGGCCAAAAAAGACTCAGGAAGAGCTTTTTACCTCCCCCTTAATTGCCTCTAAGAGTTTAGATAGAGAGCCTGGTCCAGGAAGAGGGTTATCACCAGAGATAACTATGAAGAGTATGGGCTAGGTGTGGTAAGGCGAGGGGAGGTTGGCAGGCATGTTTATTCAACTTCCTCTCTGCCCTATTGTCTCTGCATGGTATCACAATCATTTGTTTACCAAACATTTGCTCTTCCCATCTTCCTGTGAATTGTCTTCCTTCTCTTTGAAGCCCCAGACCCTTACCTCCTTCTTAGCTCAGGATAGCTTATAAGCCTCAATTGCCCATGCATATGAAATTAAATTTGTTTTCCTCCTATTGATCTGTCTTATGTCAATTTAATTGATAAACCAGCCAAAAGAACCTAGAAGGGTAGGTTTACACTACCTTTATACTCCTTATTTTTTAACTTCTGCCTTTCAAGAAGATCACCTTGCTTTTAGTCAGAAGGTGGAAGCTACCTGCAAAAACTACCCTCTTCCTGTCTTCTGTGAAAGCGTCTTGTGGAGGGTGGAGGAGATAGAAACATGCTTCTGATGGTAGGAGGGAGAGAGATGCTCCCAGTCGGGGAAAGAGATGCAAGTTTCTGCAAATACAAAGCAGGACGCAAGGCCTCCAGGGAAAGGGGCTGTTTGGTGTACCCTAAAGAAAGGATCTTAGACACCACGATCTCATCTCTCAGACTCCTTTGTCTGATCATGGCCTATAAACCTTAGAACTGTAAGATTCTAAGAGAACATGAGGATGTGAGCAATGGGCATCTAGAAAAATAGTGTGCATCCAGGACTGGAGGAGAGAATCTCCCTGAAAATTTTGCTCTGCCCAAGGCTCCTTCCTCTTCCCTGACAGCCTTTCTAAGACCTTGGGAAAAGACACAGAGAGAGTACCAATAACAACTTGCCTTTTGGGGATGGGGACTCAGAATTAATTTTATAGGATTTAAAGAATGTAAAGAAATGGAATTTTACCTGCTATAATAATGATATTTCTCAAACATTTATATAACACATTACAATTTTCAAACCACTGTCATCAGTTTACAGATGTGGAAAGCTATTTGGAGGGACAGTCAGCTTTACAGCCTCCATTCTATCCCCAGGGTGCACGTGCACACCCCCACCCCAATACTCTTCCACATCACAGCACAATGCCTCTTGAAGTCCATTATGACACTCAGTGAAACCTCTGATTAGGTGAGCCATGCCTGAAACCATTTTAAAAGTGGCATTTTGAGATTTGATGCTTCATTAACAAGACCACAAAAATCTTTAAGTGGTTCCTGTTTTTCTTCTTCCTGACAAACCATCAGAGTTGTTCAATTTCTTTTTTAAATTAAAAAATGTTTTTAACTTAAAAGTTAATTTGCAATTATTTTGAATCCTTCAAGTTATCCAATCAATTCAGTAACATCAGACACTTTTAGCATCTAAATTCTGCTTTGAGTTATATGCTATCTATAGTCTTGATTAAAGAGGAAAAATAATGGGAATAACCTACATATGAGAAATGATTTACCACTACAGATTTCTACCCATGGCTTTTATTTGTAATTCTTTTTTTGGCTTCCTAAATGTATTGAAATAAAGTTTTCTTTACTATAAGAGGGCTCAACGATCAGATAAAGTTACCTTGACGACACTTTAATTTCTTTTTTATGTTTAACAATTTCCAAACTGGGGGAAAGCACAGTCAGGAAATGACTCGAGGAGACCATTCTGAGCCTGATGTAAAGGACCTTCCTGAATCTGGAATCCTCTGAACAGCCAACTAGTGGATGCCTGTTGTTCTGTCCTGATAAGGGCTCAAAGCTGACTTGAGAAGTGGTGGGGTGAGCCTCAGGAATAAAAGAGGGCAGAGTAGGTACGCCAGAGCACTATTTCACACAGCAGCAGATATGGGAAGTGTCAACTAGATGAATTTGTATTTCAGTTTGTCAGAGACATAATTTATAGGGAGTTCTTGATATGTTATTACTTCTGCAGTCTTAATTATTATTTTATGACTACCTTGGATGTTGTTTCAGGCTGAATTGTGTCCCCCCTAAATTCATATGCTGAAGTCCTATCCCCCAGTATCTCAGAATGTAACTTCATTTGGAGATAAGGTCTTTAAAGAGGTGATTAAGTTAAAATGAGGTCATTAGGGTGGGGTCCTAATCCAACATGACTAGTGTCCTTATAAGAAGACAGAGAGACATCAGGGCATGCAGGCACTAAGAAAAGGCTATGTAAGGACACACTGAGAAGGTGGCCATCCATAAGCCAAGGAGAGAAGCCTCAGAATGAAACCAAACTTGCTGACACTTTGATCATGGACCTCCAGCCTCCAGAACTGTGAGAAAATAAATTTCTGCTGGTTAAGTCACCTTACCTGTGGTATTTTATTATAATACCCTTAGCAAAGTAATACAGATGGCAACTCTGGATCTCATGGAAAACAAGCTGCTCCTTCTCCCTGCGGGAAGGGATGCACCCAGCTCAGCTTCCCATGAGATCGGTGGCTACCTTTTTAAAAAACAGGAAGGACTGGGTCGCCTAGGTGGCTCAGTCGGTTAAGCAGCTGCCTTTGGCTCAGGTCACCATTCCAAGGTCCTGGGATCGAGCCCATATCAGGCTCCTTGCTCAGCAGGGAGCCTGCTTTTCCCCTGCCTGCCACTCCCCCTGCTTGTGCTTGCTCTCTTCTTCTTTGTGTGTCAAATACATAAAATCTTAAAAACAAAAAAAAAAAACAGGAAAGACTATAATTTCTCACGGTCCCCCAATGTCTCCAGGTGCTGGACATCTGACTTTCCTAGGGAGCTGGGTACCCAAGTAGCCCACCTCTGACAAGGTCACTTTCTCATGATTATACTCTAGGTAGGCAGTTTAGTAGGTAGACCTTCCATGTGTCCAGCAATCCCGGGACCCAGCTCACCTCTCTGTGAGATGATGGGAGAACTGGGATTCTGTGCCTTCTTTTGCTGACCCTCCTACTATAAATTTCTCTATCAAGTCTATTCCTTAATCCCTGTCACTTGTGGAATTCATGAAGAATCCTCTTGTTGATAATGAACAGAAGCAAAGCTTTGGAACAAAAAGGGCCCACTTGCTTGCTGCAGATATTAAAGAAAAAGAAAAGAGCTGAAAACAACTTATTCTCTGTCATTCATACATTTACTTGTCCATTTAATTGGTATGAATTGAATACTTACCATGTGTTAGACACAAGGCTAGATGTTGTGTTTCCAAAGATGATGGAGACGCTGTCTCAGCCTGGCAGTGGAGACAGACAGGTTTACCAAAAATTACAATGCCATGTGGTAGGTACTCTGTAATAAGGCACTGTGGGAGTACAGGAGTCTTCTTTGTAAGCAATAGAAACGTAATCTGATTGACTTAGGCAAAAGGAACTTACTGGGAGGCTGTTGAAAGCTCATAAAATCAGTGGGGTCGGTCAGGAATCAAAGTTCTCTGGAAGCAGAGACAGATGCTGCTACAGGGATGGATTGAAATCCAATCCTTTTAGGATCTTCCCCTCTTTGCTCCAGACTCCATGATGATTCTGGTGGGTCTAATTAGGGAAGACAAGGCTTCTCATTACATTCCTATAAGAATGTATTCACTGGGGAACACTTAATTCCTCAAAAGGAAATTGGGATGGTGAGAAAAGTAAAATGGATGATGGGAAGCTGCCAAACAGCACATGCCCACTTAAGCACCCTACTCTCGCTAAGGGAAATAAAGAAATCTTCACAGATGAACGGACAATTTAGAGAGTTCTTGAAAGGTAGATAGGAGTTTGTCAGGCCAAGAAGACGAAACTGGCATTCCATTTGGAGGAAACAATCTACACAAATGAACCATGGGTATGAAACAATGAGAGGGGCTGGTGTGTCCTAAATAAAGAGTGAGGGCTTGAGGGTTATGTTTGACCATGTGGTCCAGGCTGGCTGTGTGAGTAAGTGATACTGAGGGGAGTGGAGAGAGGGGTGAAAAGGGAGTGGGGGAAGTGAACTGAGGTCATTGTGAAGGTGAAGGCAAGTTCGATAGGAGAAAGAGAAGGAGAAGTGGCAGGAAGGTGGCTCTGATCAGACAATTATTTTGGAGTTTGAAATTATATTGATGAAATATCTCTGCATGTGGCTGGTAAATGACTGATGAGAAATAGACACAAAGATTATTAGAATTGAGGAGGTTTAGCAATTAAGACAAAGTCTTCCATATGGATATTTAGCCCCTGCAGGGTACTGGTGGCCTCTAGCCATTAACTGATTGATGTGAGGGTAACAGCCTAACCCCTTGCCTATGGGAAGGGAGAAATCCTCTAGTGCAATTCACTCTTTTTTAAAAAATATTTGTTTATTTCGGAGAGAGAGAAAGTGTGAGTGAGAGAGAGCAGCCGCAGGGGAGAGGGGCAGAGGGAGAGGGAAGAAGCAGACTCCCCGCTGAACAGGGAGCCCGATGTGGGGCTCAATCTCAGGACCCTGAGATCATGACCTGAGCTGAAGGCAGACGCTTAACCCACTGAGCCACCCAGGTGCCCGCAATTCACTCTTAAAGCCCTAAACTTCTCCTGAGACCCTATCTTTGCCCAACTCCTTCCCTTGCCCTTCCTGCATTCCTCACTCATTTCTGTTTCACATATCATAAACAAATACCATTTAAATCATCTAAAATAACAAAAAGAAAAAGAACAATAGATTCATGATTTTGAATCTCAAATTATAGTTACCTCAAAAATGACATAAAGGATCATTGAAAGTTAAAGGAATTAAAAATTAAGCTAGGAGATGAATGTCTTTTAGTCTGACTAAAAATCAGG